TTTTCATTTTTTTGTTGCCTTGTTAAAATTTCTGCTTCAAAAATTATAAACATTACTTTCATGATTAGTCAAAAATGTGCAAAATCAATATTTCATTACAAAAACAGAAATTAACTACAAATTTATTAACTGTACAAACAAGAATTATAGCTAAATTAGCATACATCTGTTGCAATATATTTCAGTAATCCCACACACATTTCATTAAAATTGATTTGATCTTCAGGTTAAAGATGCCTTCTTATATTTCATTTTGTTGCAATATTACATCAAATTATACACATGGTGTTGAAAATTATTAAACACTCACACATAGAGTGTGTAATGGGAGAATTTTCTACTGCAGATATCATGCTTTTTTCATGTCAGTGGCTTTGACCAGCATCCAAGAACCATCCTCCACAGTATTGAGCTACAAAATATCCTGAAAACAACTGAACCACTGCTAGTTCTTAGGACTTTGCAATATTCACATCTTTCTATTAACATTAATGATATTTTTTACATGAAATACTAAGGGATAATGGTCAAATATGTAGCAAATTTCTATTGTTACCCTCAGATAATCAGAAAAGTAAATTAGATGGAAAAATAATTCACTTAAGAAATAGAATATTTACACAACATGTTTCACAAGTCTTAAAATAACTAGCAATTCGATATTAAGTCAATATTTTGAAGAGTCTATAACGATTATAATTTCTTAAAAAGTACTCAATATTCAAATATGCAGTTAAGAGCAACTGTTGTGCAGTAATAATACAAGTGTTTACATATACCTCTACATACCATTCTCTAGTCAAAACAACCAATAATAGCTAGACAGTGTCGCTAATCCTTCAGAGTGAAACAGGTTGGTGGAATCATTTTGAAACAAAAGTCTTGAGTCTTACGTCCTAAATGGTGAATTTCAAGACCTGCAACTATTTCACCAATTTGAACTTCTCAATGTAAACTCTATAACGAGCATCTTTTTTACCATACATGTACAAACTTAAGGTGTACACATGTATAAATATAATTTTTATAATAAAAGCTACATGCTAATATGGCAGTTCAAGAAAGTGTCCAATTCAAAACCGCGGAGAGAACTACATAACAACACAAATTGTCCAGACATTCAAGACACCTTCCAACAAAGTTAACAGAACATTTTTAATAATTTTGTACCTTCAAAAACCTCAGGATTGAAAAGCACAAGATCTGAATTTGATTGCATTTCAAAACAAATTGTAGATGGTCAAGGTTGTTTGTGCTGTTAAATTACTTACAGTTGAACCAGATAGTCTTACATACTAAATGGATCTTGGAAATAGGAAAGCCAGCATTTAAATTCTTACAAAATACTGTCCAGCAGAAAAGAAATGTTAACTTAGTTTGTACCGTATAGTTTTTAGCTCCCAACTGTTCTCTTCCCACAATATAGAATGTTGACAGAGTAAATACTCCTCCTTACCCACATCCTACTCTTCAATACCAGGTTATTTTCCATCACTCTGTCTGGACAATGAGGTCATATTGTCCGACAACTAGGTCAAGCAATATTGACTTAACTTAAAGGATATTCAAATATCAGTAATGTTTCATCAAAAGGAAACTTCTTTTTAAAATAAATCACATCAATGAAAATTTGATACGATTTTAACAGAACAGCCTGATAATTACACAGGAGAAAAAAGTTATAAGAAGGCAAGGCAGAGTTTAATAACTACTTGGACACAGTGGACAATCCTCTAGAAAATTCACCGGTAAATGCAGATGTATCAAAATTTATGTGGACACATGAATATCTGGGTCAAATGAAGGTATATCTACTAGAAGTTAGGCATAGGAAAATTTAAATGTTCCATGCTGGCAGCCAACGGATCTCTGGCACTAAGACCATAGCTCAGCAATTGTCCACATTGTTGGTGTTCCAAATGCAATGACTGTCACCAAGACACAATAATGTTCACCAGAACGCAATAACCTTCATGAAAAAACAATAACCTTCACCAAGAGTTACTCCATCCACAATCAAGACATGTTAAAAAATAGAGACAATGTCTAGACTAGTGAAATATTTGTGTAAATTGTTAAGATTTCTGAATAAGTATGATTTAAGTCTGGATGGACAAAGTAATTTCACAGTAAAACACCATTGAAGGCTATCACCTAATGGTTCAGTCTAGAAATGTCAGAAATAAACCCAAAAAATCAACTCGGTCATTGAAAATATCAATGAAAAGATTTAACATTTCTGACCCTGGACATTGTCATATCAACAAGTTTCATGCAATGTATGTTTTCATTTTTGCTAAAAACACTTGACTAGAACAGACAAAAATAATTTCATTTTACATCCTATAATGAGCCATTTGACTTGATCAACTGATTGGACTCTTTTTTAATAGAGATCAGAAATTCAGTTCTACTTTAATCCCATATGGACCACCACAGCTTGTTTAGTCAATGTCAAATGTCAATTTGTTAACAAGATGACTCCAAGTTTAAAGTTTTATTTCTAAGAATATTAGTTGACAGGCAATATTTTTACCTCCTATAATCCTGCTACTTGTAACATGGACACACCCAACATGTGTGGCCTTGAGTGACTTTAATGTCAGTTCAATGACTGTAGATGAAAAGATTTTATTTCAAAAACATGTTGTTGATAAATATATTATAAGTAAAATCAATATACTAATAATAAGTATTGTTATAGTAATAAGAATACCATCAATTTTCAATTCATATAGAGATTATATCAATACAGTCAGTGACCAGTGATAAATACAGATTCTTATCTTATTGTCTGTAAACAAAATGCAATCTAAATAACAAAACAGTCATCATCTAAGCATTTCTATTTCAAAACACAAGTCTATAGAATTTCATTTCAATTATAACTTTATTTCCATCAAAACAAATCTTATATAGCAGTAGACTGTGACCGTGGGTTTGATTCAAATTTCTATGTCGAGATGAAGGCATTAAGATACCCAAGAACAAGGCTTAACTTTATCATCATATTGATACAATAACCAGAAACATGACAATTTAAACAGATAATACAAAATGTTAATTTGGATTTTGATGCAGGTTTTTTACTAATAGCATTAAATCAAAGTACTGTGCTGTGCACTTTTGAAGGCTGGGAACAATACTTTATTTCTTTTTAAGTTAAAAAAAACCTTTTTTTTTTTTTCATAAGTAGACTTTGCATATGCTACAACTGGTTCATGTATTTAACAAACAGGATATAAAACCTTAGTATCATTGGTTGTTTTTATCTCTTATTTTGTTGCAATATGTACAGCCTTTTTTAATTAACAAAACAGATATCACCTTCAAAGCCATAGAGGTCATTCATTACAATATATTTATAAACAATTTCTTTTTTTTTTAACAATGTATCCCATTGAACACTGAGTATAACATAAAAAGACAAGATAAAAGATAGTGGACCACAGCCATATACGCCCTTCACGTCAAAATTGGTTGAAAACTAAGAGAGTAATAGCATATTCAAGATTTGGGGCAAGGTCAATAACTCTGCTTCTAACGGTCGAAAATAGCTCAAATGTGTACGAATGGACGGACAGACGGACCTTTGTTTCATGTATATGTATACACATACCGAATTTCATTTGATTCCTTCAAACACTCTAGTTTTTAGAGTGTTTACGAGCAATTGATGTTGATAGAAGCACATATTGTATAAAGGTTAAAGGGCGATAACTCCTCAAAACTGACGTAAGAGGCTTAAATCTTGAAAAAGCCTTAAATTTAATCAGAAGTAAACTAAACTTTCTCAAACCTTTCGATGTAGGTCCAATAACATCCATTTTAAGTTTCATCCCAATCGGTTGAAAACTAAGAGAGTAATAGCATATTCAAGATTTTGGGGCAAGGGCAATAACTCTGCTTCTAATGGTCGAAAATAGCTCAAATTCGAACTTGATCTTCGTTTTACGCATATGTATACTCATACCGAGATGCTGAAGCATCTGAATTGGTAATGGATACTTGATTGGTTTGTGGCAGTAAAGCAGTCCATGCTCTTTGTCATCATTAGGCTATAGTAGACAACAACGAAACAAATTGATCTGTAATTTAATCCTGTTCATTAAGTGAAACTTCAATTAGCAGATACCATACTTAATGAAAGAAAGAGCAATCAGACTGATTTCAAGAGCTCACATCTAATCAAGATATTCACGGCTTCCAGTTGCCAGTTGATCTCTAACCCAAGCACCATTTTCGGTTAAAGGGGAAAAACTCTTATTTAGTATGTCTATTTGGAGTCAGACCACGAACGTTATATATATTATTATAGAGAGAGTCGACTATTGATAGAAACAGATGCCTGTGTCTGCACAATAGTTTATCATAGGTAACAGTAGACAAAAATAAACTTTAGATACCAAACTTTATGAAAACATGTGCAATTAGACTGATTTCAAGAGTTTACAACTTATCAAGCTTGCAGTCATAGAATAGGCCAGACATCATTTTCAGTCTAAGGGAGGAAACTATTATTTAATAGGTGTATATTTAATCAGACCACAAAGGATTAGTATCTCTTTATTCGTATACTATCCTTCCTACTTCTGTTACTTTTAGAGCAGATGTAAATACAAGTATGTATTTCTTTCTGATTGTGGGTGTTCAAGTCAAAAAACGACTTGTTCATGCTTACATATACAGTGATTTACATTTGCATTCTTCAAAATTTACTTTGAAGAGGGTTAAAATCAGGAATGATTTAACATTGAAGACAATGCTAATAAAAAGACAACAAGATCAAGGTCATTTAACTTGGAATCGAAAAAAGCAAATGCCCACAGGAATCACAGCAATTACCTAACATTATGGTTGTATATTATAACAGTTGACTAAATTGACAGACTAATAGTGATCAATGGGATGTTCTCAATTTGGATCATTCAGGTCAATGACAAGAGCCAATTTTATCAAAAAGGAGGAGGATTTTTCAGTCGTAAGTGTTCAGCACACAATCAATTTCTCTTGGATGATGCTTCAGTTGCTAGCAGTGAAGAAAAATTCAGTTGATCACAGATTCTGCCAGTCACAAGTGAGCCCTCTGAGCCAACTGTTAATGCATCTTTCAAGTTTACTGGATCTATTCTCTTACTTGGTCCCAATCCTTCTTCTAATCCCATGGAATCCTGAAAGTTTGTACCTGGAGGAGTAATCTGTACCCCAATTTTTTCTAACAAGTTGAAATTGTAATATTTTTGTAAAATTTTGTTAAACAAGGATTTGTGTATTATAAGAAATGTAAACATATAAGCATTTACAGTGTGTATGTAAATATAAATATACAATTATTTTAAGTGTATATGTATATATGCATGTATTTGGTTTTTGTGTGTGTAAAGAAACAATTATTCAATGTTTTTAAATGTAAATGTATACAATAGTATGTAAATGTAATATAACATGTATTCAATAGATTGTTACAGATATAAACATAAATGTATTCAGTAATTGTGTATGTAAATGTAAATATTAAAATAAAACTTACTTCTAATAAAAAGGGTAAAACTGGTATGTATGTGTTTGTCGTATCAGATAATAGAGTGAGAGCCCGTACACAATGGAAGCTTAATGGATAAAACTTGCTAGTGGGCTGTAACCTGAAAAAATAATCATCTTTATAGTGAAACAACAGAGAATACAGTCAATCTTCATTTAAAATACTTCTTCAGGTTTGGAAAATGATATAATTATCATACATGAATAACATATTTTTGCCATCAAGGCTGTGAATGGACATGGTATAAAATATCTTCCATTCCCTTCAGCCAAATAGAGAGCAGAAAGGATCATTCTCATTTTATTTCACAAAATAATTTAATCCATGATACTACTGTTATATTTCAAGTATCACATTTAAATTAATTACAAAAATGAGTATCTTACTTCGCTGTTCCTATAATAGTTTGAGTAAGAGGGTATATCAATGGTTGTAGGACATCACTAGGTGATGAGGTACCAAGTAACTTTACCCATAAACCAATACAATGAATAAACTGCCAGTTATATACAGCTTGTACAGTTTCCTAATTTAGAATAAATTAAATGTGGGGTCAATAAATATAAAGCCATACATCTAGTAACACAGATTTCAAATCAGTGAAGAATGAATAGCCAATATTGCACAAAACTGATTAGTTATGCTTTTCTCTTATAGAAACCTTTCTAAATTCAGAAATTATAGACAGTGACAATTTTTTTCAATTAATTAGTTTTAAATTCCCTTTAAGAGCTAATGAGAATACTGACCTTCTTTTTAACTGTGATGGCATTTCTAAGATGTATAGCTAACTGTCGAATATAGATAAAGGCATATTGATATGCCAACACTGAGTCAATGAGAAATATCTCAACCAAAGACAGCTGCATAAAGTTGATCAATGGTAAAGTTGTAGGTGAAGTAAACTTACAATTCTTTACGAAGGCTAAATACATTTGCTGAAAAAAAGGACAATATGCAAAGATGATGTTTCCCTACATCTGAAAGTAATTAAATAATTGTTATTAAAGACGAACAATTTATCATGATAATGAGTTTTGGTTGCATAAAATTAGCTCAAGAGAATTTGAATGAATGTTTTCTTTCTATTTTCAATGTGATTAAAATAAACAAATAATTCCAGATATCAAAATATTGAAAAGTACATACCTTTAAACTGGGCTCCAGTAAATGATCTGATAATAAACCTATCATTTTATTGATACATAAGAATGCTAAAACTCGAGATGTTTCTTCACCAGTTGACCAAATTTCTATACATTTCTAAAATAAAGGTAAGGCATGTAGACACACACAGAATAAAACATATATCATTTTTTTTAAACACAATTTTTTAGATAGTCCATATCCAAAGGAATATTTTAATGTATCTACACCAACATTGTTTCAGTATTAGTGAATCAGACATATTGAAAACATTGTATTTTAATCCGTTATTTAGTGAACGGAGCATTAGGTAGGTTGAATATTATATATGATCCAGAACATGAGATGCATAACCATTTCATCAGATCATGGATGAGAATACAGACCATTTGCATCTAATCATATTGCTTACGTAACTTACCTTTACAAGTTTTTTAGCTATTCTAACAAACACTGAACATAATGGTACCATTTTATGTAAATGTTTTAATAAGACATTAATCATAGCAGGTTCAGATATTGATGATATCAACTATAACAAAGAAAACAACATTTCTATATAAAAATTCTTTACAATATCAAATTGACTTAATGAATGACAATATGACACCCTAAGTCATGCAGTGTGCAATGAGAGAAATTTGCCAAGACAGCTACAGCTATACACTCGCATGTTTTAAAATTCCATTTGTTGAGGAATATTGCATATGCGCAGACTGAAGCACTAAGATCTTTAACATTGAATGGAGATGGGGTAGAAAATGATGAAGAATCTCCATGTAGGCTATTTGCTAGACCTATGCACCATACTATAGAAAGCAAATATTTCCATTAGTTTTGTCATTTTCTGACCAAATACAGACTTACAGGAACCAAAGCCACAGGAAGAAAATTGGAATGGTGCAAATAGAACTTCCTGTCTCCCGGTTTACATATACTGTACAAAAATGTATGAAACTTTCAAAAGCATTACCTTCAGTAGATCAACTAGGTATGACTTGACGGAGGCCTTGATCTTACTCCAATTTTTGCCTTTACTGAGACTAGGTACCTCAGTTAGTGATTGAAGATTAGGTTGATGTAGTAATTGTTGTAATGCTGGTACAATTTCCATTAAACACATCTTTACTATACCATTAAATACTGTCAACAATATAAATAGTTAAATCAATTATTCACATGAGGCCTTTTACAAACAAACCATACTATGTAATAATGTCAGTTTAAGTTGACACATTAAAAGACACATCTAAAATCATTTTCCAGTTGGCATGCATATAAACAATGAAATTGACATATGACCACATGTGCAGTATCTGACAGATATGTTTTAAGTGAATAATCCATGACAACACTAAAATATTACCTAAATCAATCAATTAATGTTTTATCAAATTTGAATATAGTATATCCATTATTAGATATTGACGTGAAGTGTAACAGTGACACTTGAAAGGTTGAAGTTTGATTTACCACATCTCTAAGGAAAAATTCGTAAAATCAATGAATGAGTGAAGTAATCAGAGTAAACATGTACTTACCAACACCACCTTCAACATGATATATTGTTACTTCATCTGATTTACTTGTTGATCTAACAGCTGCCTTAAATGCTTGAACCATTTCTCTAAATACACCAATAGTTGGTTGTTTCTACAAAATACAACGTCAGTTTCCTTATAATGCCAAGCCTATTTTCAAATTCTTAAAATTGGTTGACATGAAAATCTTTATAACCCTTTAAACATAGAGTGTGAAACTGTGAATATAATAAAACATCATATACCTTAAATTCCAAGTTACATAAACATATGTATAGATGTATTAGATTAAAATTATGTGATGTAAAGACCACTTCACAGGCTGCTAAGGTATATATCATATAATAATAAATGTATAAAATATACACTAGGGGCATTGATACATCATGTATCAATGTGAATGACTGAAAGGAACAAGGAGTAAATAAATAAATAAATATAACTACCTGTATATTTTCATTCCACTGTTTAATCATAGTCAATGAAACTTGTTTTTCTCCTCTTCGGATCTGACTTGTTTCTTTCATTTCATCACCAGAATCATCATCACTTTCATCACTGGCCACCTATTAGAATAAAATCATGTGTAAATTACCTTTCTACTTTCCATCTTTTGGTGAGAATGAAGACTGATCAAAGTCATCTAAACTTCAGATAGTGCAATTTAAATCATTTTAAGCATACTTTTAGTTGTTTTTAAGTCATTCACTCAAGCAACAATAAGAAAAAACTCTTAAAATTAGCCAATAAATCAAGAAGCTTTTAAATTTAAATCTTAAAAATCAAAAAAAAAAATCTTTCTTTCTATACATAAGTAAGCTACACTTATAAAAAAATAATATAAAATACCTCTAATTTTGATAGAGGTTTATGGAACTGTTCTTCATCAGAATCTCTCTCATCATCATCATCAGATTGAGCTAATATATCTTCCTCAAATTTCTTTAAATCTTCATCTTCTTCATCATTGTCATCATCATCATTAACCTTATCATCATCATCAGATTCATCATCGCCAGATTCAAAATCCTCCAATAGTTCTTTATCTTCTGATTGCAGAAATTTGAAGAATTCTGGATCTTGTTCTTTTAGTCTGTCTAATGTTTTCTGCTTGGGTTTCAAACATTTCTCTGTTGCTTTAGGTCTATTTGAAGAAGAAAATATATACAAATAAATTCATCATTGACTCTTTCAAAAAACATATGACATACTAATCTGCCATAGTAGTTGTTCATGCAAAACTAGAAAACATATGACATACTAATCTGCCATAGTAGTTGTTCATGCAAAACTAGAAAACATATGACATACTAATCTGCCATAGTAGTTGTTCATGCAAAACTAGAAAACATATGACATACTAATCTGCCATAGTAGTTGTTCATGCAAAACTAGAAAACATATGACATACTAATCTGCCATAGTAGTTGTTCATGCAAAACTAGAAAACATATGACATACTAATCTGCCATAGTAGTTGTTCATGCAAAACTAGAAAACATATGACATACTAATCTGCCATAGTAGTTGTTCATGCAAAACTAGAAAACATATGCTGCCTGGCTAACAAGTAATACACAGTAACCTTTACTCACTCTGCCTTTATTTTTTTCTTGGCATTCTTATCTTTCTTTTTAATTTTAGTATCAGGTTTAACTACGACTTTCTCAAGACTTTCTTCTGAAGACGACTCATCACTTGAATCAAAACCATATTTCATAAAGTCATCAACCTCCATTTCACTTAATTTCTTTGATCTGTGAGTGTACAACAAACATTAAAATTATTGTTCTATACTCTGGCTAAACAACATAGCGTGTAGAAAGTGACTATTGCTACAGCAGTCTAATCCCTGGCCACTAAGAAATGAGTTCTAAATTGAATTGTATCACATTATTGCATTATTGAATGCATGCACATGTTCCCACTTTATAACTAGGTGAAATCTAAATGTTTTCTATAGAAATTTTCATTCCAATTAGGTGTTCCAAAACCCCAGAGAAACTATAAGGCGATGATAGCTACACTGGAACGACTATTTCAACACGTGCTAAGCACTGATTAAAACACAAAAGTAAACAAACCATGTTTTATAAATTTCATGCAGAAAATTTGTTAAATTTTGTTAGATTGTGTAGATTGATAGATGTAAAGAATATATAAGTATAAGACCTATATCATACAGCAATAAATAGTGTTGTTTGATAGTTATTATAGCCTTTTATAACAAAATACAAAACAAAAATAAGTTAATGTTTACTTAGCCATGCTTTCAATGGGCGCAGCCATTACCGGAAGTAGATTCTTTAGATTTCATTGGTTGATAATCATTGTGCCCTTGACCTTGTCTAAGGTTAGTCCGATAGGTTCTAATACCTCACACGTTTAGAAAGTCCGTTAACCTTAAGGTCCAGGGTTCAGTCCCGGCATAGGTCGAGATAATACCTTCGGATTTTTCAACCCGGTTTCCCCCTGTCAGTGATGCAGGTTAGAGGGGCTGACATGGAAAAAGCGTCTAGTCGTTCGGATGGGACAATAAACCGAGGCCCCGTGTGCTACAGGCTGTGCACGTTAAGATCCCTCGACAGTTGGAA